CTTAATGCCTTTTTGGCGATGTAGTTACAGTGGGCTCTAGCACTTAGATCATTAGAGATGAGTACTCCAAGGTCCTTGACAGAGTTTGGATCCTCAACAAGGCCTTGACTATTCAGCTTGTACTTTATTTTCTGATTTTTTTTTGCCAATATGTAGGACAGAGCATTTATTTGTTGAGATTTGAAGTTGCCATTTGTTTGACCATTCTGATACATAGTCAAGGTCTTTTTGAAGGGTAACAGTATTGTCTGTGGTATTGAATAGCTTTACATCATCAGCGAAGAGAACGAAGAGAAGAGATATCCCTGCATCTATTTGCTCTTAATATGATCACAGAGGTCATTTATTTTATGTAGATTATGAAGAGAGTTGGGTCCTAGAACACTGCCTTGGGGAACACCACTGTTGTCAGGTACAGAATTTGATAGGACGCTCCCAATTTTGATCATTTGTTGTCTGTTTGATAGGAATGCTTCTATCCAGTTATGCAGGTGTCCAGAGATACCGTAAGATTTTAGTTTTAGGAGTAGATTGTCGTGTACCACTGAATCAAAGGTTTTACAGAAGGCTGTGTAGATTGCGTCTATTGCTTTGCCCTGATCGAGTTGTGTAGTCCATATGTTTTTGCAGTGTAAGAGTTGCAGATTACATGATAGTTTTTTCCTGAAACCAAATTGTTTATTAGAGAGTAGGTTGTTTGTTTCTAAGTGGAGGATGATGGATTGGTTAATAATTGATTCCATGACTTTACAGGTGACGCAGCATAAAGAGATTGGTCTGTAATTTTCAATTAGGCTGGGCTCTCCCTTTTTGAAGATGGGGATGACCGTGGTTTGTGACCATAGTTTTGGCAAGGAGCTGGTCCTGAAAGATTTTTCAAAGATTATGCTTAGAGGTTCGGCTATGGCAGTGGATAGCTTTTTTAAGAAGTAGGCACATATTCCATCCGGTCCAATAGATAGAGATGGTTTTAGATTGCTTAGTGCTTTTTCAACATTGTCTTCTGTAAAATTGATATGTATTAGATCATTGTAGTTGTCTGGTTCGACTAGGAAATACTGGGCATGATCCATTGCTGTTTTCAAATACTGAAGAATGTTAAAGAGGTTGGCTTTAATAGTGTCGTCGTTGCAGTCTTTACCATTAGGTCCTATCAGGAGTGGGATGGACCTTGTGTCTTTTAGTTTGTTGTTTACAAAATTGTAGAAAGTGCGGGTGGAATTAGTGTGTAGAAGGTTTTCTTCTTGTTTAATGTGATAATTGGTGCATTCAGTTTTTACCTGGTGGCATAAATTTTTGTATCAGCTTTTGAAGTTGGCAACGTGACCAGATTTGTTTTTCTGCCAAAGTGATTTCTTTTTGGATTGAAGCTTCCTTATTGTTATGGGTAATTTGTTTTTTCTGGTTTTGGGAGTTGTTAATGGTACATATAGTTTGATGACTCTTTTGACGTCAAGTAAAAATATGTTGTAATGGTCTTCTACAGTATTGCATCCAGAGAATAGAAATTGCCAATCAAGGGATGAGAGATCATTGTTTATAAGGTCATAGTTGCCTTTTTTGAAGTTATAATTGGGGATTCTGTCGTGATGATTTTTGTGTGGATGTATTTTGAGACAAAAGTCAATTATGTTGTGGTCACTGTTGGAAAAGGGTTCTTTAATTAGTATTCCATAAATTGAATTCAAACTATTGCAGAAGATGAGATCGAGGCAGTTGTTAAGTCTAGTGTTGTTGGTTACTAGTTGTTCTAGTCCCTGATTTGTTACTGCATTGTAGAAGGTTGCATGTGTGGGTTCAGTTGTACATTTGTTAAGGGTCCAGTTAATATGAGGTAGATTGAAATCACCAAGAAAGATAAAAGTGTGTGGGCAGGATGCTGCCCATGTTAGTAGTGTATTTAGCTTGTTTGGATGTTCAATGTCATAATCAGGGGCTCTGTAACATAGTAAGAACCGAAATGTGATATTTAAGAACAATTCATAGATGATGGTCTCAGGAATAGCAAACTCCTGGGTAACTTGGATGTTTTTTAGATATAGGGACTTTTTATAGAAGATAGCAACACCACCTCCTCTACGGAATTCACGATTTGGTCAGTAAACATGATAGTCTCTTACTGTGGTAATGGGGTCAGGGAGAGATGCATTGAGCCATGTTTCACAGACAAATATAATATTGAATTTAGCTGTATTTAGTAAGAGGAGAAATTCAGGTATTTTATTTACAAGGCTTCTTGCATTGAGTAGCTTGCATTTAAGGCCAGGTGTGGTTGGAATAAAGGTAATTAGGGGCGTGCGTGCCTAGTTTTGAATGATGTTGGATTGGATGGGGTTGGATGTGGAGTTGTGGGTTGTGTGACTTTCTTTTGATGCAATCAGCTCTGTAGTCAATGTATAGGTCGTTTTCTCCATTGTCTAGACAGTTTTTGAGTTTTGCACGGAGTTCATGGGAGCGGATTCTTTGCAGTATAGATAAGTCTGGTCTTGAGCAAAGTTTTTTGTGGTTGGGATTGGTTTTTGCAATGGCATTTATTGTAAGAATGAATATGCGTTTGCTGGACTCATTTTTGCATACAACTCTATAAAATCTTGGGGCCACAGAGCCGTCATTGTATTTGCACTGAGGGCTATATCTGGTTATTTCAATGATATCTTCAGGAGAGATGTTTGTTGTATTTGAGTTGCTTATGATATCCTGAACTTTGGTGATGTCGTCTGATTCATTGGTATCTTTGAGACCAAATAAGATGGCATTTGGATGTTTCTGTTCACGTTCCATGGTGTCTCTGATGAGTAAGGAGATATTATTTGTGGAATTATTTGAAGGGGTAGTAATTGTTTGTGGCTGTGGTTTGGTGGTTATGTTTGGTTGTAGTTGTGATTGTAGTTGAGGTTGTGGTTGTTGTGGGATTTGATTTTGAGCTGATAGGTATTCACTTATCTGTGCTGTATGTTTTTTTTCAAGAGAGATTAGGCTTGCTTGTATAGTTGTTTCAAAACGTGTTGCTAAGCATTCTTCTATTGAGTGAATGAGTGATTCTATGCTTTCATCTCTGTCAGGTAGGGTACTCAGTTTGTTTAGCTTAGGAGAACATGATGGACATAGATAAAAGAATGTATCTGAATTTTTAACCATATCAGCTAGGCTTTTATTTGCGTTTAAGCAGGCAGGGTGGGCTAGATTATCGCATAGGCGGCATTTGATGTAAATTTCGCTTTCATTGATGGTTTCAAGACATCTGAAACATGTGCAGGAGTCTGGGAGGTCATTGGTAAAGATATTTTTATTTTGTTTTGTTTTGGAGTTTTTGGCTGGCATGGTCAATGGCAATAGTACAGTAATCAATTACAATAGCTAGTTAATGTGATAGGTAGACAGTTACTTAATGAATGTTGGTAATTAATAAATGTTAACTGATATGTTAGAGAACAAATCAAAAGTAAGGTTACTTATTGCTAAAAATCAATCAATCAATCGGTTATTCAAATCACTCTAATCAAATAATTTTGCTAAGCAACAAACAGCCTAATTTATTACAGTAATTATTAAACACACTGGTCAATTAAATTCACTAAATCACTGATTTTATTAATCAGATATTCAGTAATTACACTATATGCACTAAACACTCAATCATACTAATCAATAAAAACAATAAATCAATTAATCATTTGATAAAAATTAATTATTTAAAGAAATTGATTTTATGAGATAATGAAGTAATGAAGTAGTATTGAGAATTAGTAAGTAAAGGGTTATTGCTTTGCTTTGCTTTGCTTAGCTGTTGCTGATATCTGAGAATAGGTTTATAACCCCTAATAAACTGGCAGGAGGTCTCTTTTCCTGGGCTGTTTGAAAACAATCAGTGAGCAAGGGTTTACACTCTCTTTTTTGTTTTGTAGATTGAATTTTTGAGATAGTAAAGATGCAAAGATGCTGAAGGGGGGATCTCTGGCCCCTTCTTCAGCAGAGATAAACAGAACAATTCACTGGGAAATTCATTTCCCTACTTATTAAACGTACAGATTAGCCTGATATTGAAGTTGCCACCTTTTCCTCATAGATCAATCTAGAGACATATCTCTATTCTCAAAACTTTTCAAGTGCAATTGCAGTTAAAAGATGCTGGATTTGAATTATGCTCAAGCTTGGATGTTCTGGCTAAATGCACAGAAGACGGTCAACATTTATGATTGTCACTATATCTATCATCTCTAATATGTTAATTTCTTATCTAGTTTTATTAGCTAATACTGTTTTACTGCTTTCTTTTGGTCCTTGACTGTAAATTAATAAACAAATAAAATCCTCTGAAGTTTTATTTATTGTCCCACAGATAATTAAGGCCTTTTATAGGCTCGTGGCATTATAAATACATTTTATGGTACAAAGTGCAATGAGACAGTGCTGAGTTGTATTTAGGGCAAAAATGAACAACTGTTCTTGGGCTTAATGATGTCACTACTCTGATGTTTCTAATCTACTCTACAAATTATTTAATTTATACACACAAAACTACAACTTATAAACAGGCACAAGAATTCTGAAACTCAGATACCTGTAGCTTTCAAAAACAGCTTTCCTTTCATATAATGCAAACTGCTACTGGCAAAAAGAAACTTCAAAAGATCCCAGGTGCAAATTTATAAATTCAGTTTTTTTGCAATATTATCATGCTGTAACAATCAAATTCATATCCTGATAATAAAATTGGCAGGACAATAATACAATGATCTCTGGATGCTCCAAATACAGTAAGAAACACCTTTTTTTTAAAATGCTCAGAAGTGTGAGTTTTTGCCACTATCGCAAACTCAGAAGCGTGGACCATTACCAACCTCTCAAATCAACTACTCATACCCTATGGCCTATGATGCAACAGATTCCCTCAAACACCTGACGAAGAAGGCAACAAATCACATTTTTAGGCTGAATGAAAAGGAGGGAGACACAACAGCTCTCTGCAGAAAGTCTTCTTTATATATGGATGTACTTACGGAATGTTGGAGAGGTGAAGAGTGGCTGATGGAGGGAAGATATTTTGGAAGTTTTTGGAGCCAGGCTTCTTAAAGCGATGCAAAGGGCTATTGCCATAGTCCTTCGTTAGACCCTGGTCCTCTTGACCTTCACGAGGGAGCTGTACTGTTTGATGCTTTGAGAGTGTAATACGGAGTGCTTTCCCAAATAGTTTTTGTCCATTTAAATGATTCATGGCTGAAATATTTAAGACAATGAAGTTAAGATTGGGGGGAAATAAATAAATAGATACTGTAGCAAGCAATATTTTAAAAGATCTGTTTCAATAATTAGTCAGTATATTAGATTCACCTTTTGCTAATTTTCAACTACACTGATTTTCATTATGCTACTTACAGCAAAAAGAGCAATAGCAATAGCACTTAGACTTATACCGCTTCATAGTGTTTTACAGCCCTTTCTAAGTGGTTTCCAGAGTCAGCATATTTTCCCCAACAATCTGGGTCTTCATTTTACTGACCTCAGAAGGATGGAAGGCTGAGTCAACCTTGAGTCAGTCAGGATTGAACTCCAGGCTGTAGGCAGAGTCAGCCTGCAGTACTGCTTTCTAACCACTCCACACCACCATGGCTGTTACATTTTATAATGTTTCTGAATTAGGATCAGATATACTCTAATTATTATTTATGAGAGAATCAGATCACTATGCACAATTAATAAAGTATAGAAAATGAAACATGCATTAATTTCACATTAAAGAAACTTCAGTTGAAAAAAATGATCAAATGAATTTTTAATCAAATGAAAATCAATATCCTGTTGGAGAGATAAAAGCAGCAGTAACATTTTGTTTCCACTCTTTAGAGTTTTGCTGGGTTTTTTTTAAAAGGAAAATTACAATAGATATTTACTATAAAATAAATGAAACGTTCATTTTGTACAATGCAATCACACTATATTTTATTAGCACTTTTCATACCTAGTTGGGCTTGAGTTGCATCTGCCATTTGAACTAAGGCATTTTCCTTCTTATTAAACATGATTTTTACACGGTGAACATCACCATAAACACCTGCAAAAGTAAAACACATTTTGAATTCATTTTCTGCAGCAGATCATTCCAGTTATATATACATATGCTATAATGCCTATGCTAAGCTGAGGAAATTTTTAAAATAACATATATTAAGGACATTTGAGAACTCTGTAAGGACCAGCAGAGCAGAGATATGAAAATCTACAAGTCGGATATATTCTAATTATTATTTACAAAAGAATCAAGTTCCTATACATACATCAACAAATATACAGATGTCACCCGGTATTTTTAAGAACACAAACCAATTGCAATTTGTATTACAACATCAAACATTAGCTTCTCAGACAATGTTATGTATTTTCTGCATAGAGAAACTAAACTTACCAAACAAGATAAATAGCCCATCTGGTGTGATTGCCTGCACAGAATATAATAACAGTTTTGTAATGTATAATTTGTAAATCTGGAATTATCATATAGTTACTGTGTATGTTTGTTTTAATATATTCTATACTGTAGTACTGTGTATAATTCACATCATTCATTGATGAGACTATATGATTGTTTAGATTTTAACAAATAGCATAAATCTAATTATAATAGTTGGCAGTTCAATTCAGTTTGAAAAGAGATATTGGGGGCTTCAATATTGTTAAAATCAGCTTTGTTATATATCTATGGCTGAATTTAAATGCATTGTTATTGGGAAAAGAAAATTGTTCTGGCACTAGAAAGTTTTCTTCTTATGTAACCTGCCATAACTATATCAGATAGTCAAGAGCATAAGGAGCTACAGAACAAGGAATTGGAATGCCTGGTATATCAATATAATACTATGAAGACCATTTTGGCCACATGTCATATTATTATAACACATTTAATTAATTTAAAAATACTATTGCATGTCTTCCAATTAGATACACAACTTTTTAGGAAAAAACTGACATTCAGTTAATAGTAGAAATGTGATGCTCAAAATGCAATGGGGGTTATTATAATGAGGCTAGGTACTATAATATTCCCTTTTGAAAATAAGACTTTGTTCTGAGAGAAGTCAGTGGGTTTTGAGGATTCTTACATTCTTCTACCAGCCATTTGGAACAGGAAAACAATGGAAAACACACACACATACACACAAATTACAGAGTTGGAATGACTCTCATGTTCAATGAATTACCCAATGGAGTGAAGAGCTTATCTCTTTTTCTTTATTTGGGCAAACATTTCAGTAGGACTTAGACTTGGAGGCTTACAAATTATTTGGACTGTATATATTAGTTCCTATATCTGATTATCTTTCCCTTCCTTTTTTTCAAGTGCACTGACAGATGTTAATTAAGGACATGAATGCCAATTAGCATATACATATAGAGGGGTTTTTGTTTACAATGTAAGATATACATTCCTTTTGGGGATTATGACTTCTTTTTTTCTTTTGCAAAAGAATGAAAACAATTAAAACAAAAGCTATGTTTGAATTGTGGCATATGCACATGTGTTAGCCTTACATCAGGATTGAGGTTGCTAACAAGTAATACAGAATTTCCATGCAATCCTGTAACTCCTGGGAGAGCCATCCGCCCAGTCATTGCAGAGGTGGAAATTGCAAGAGGACCAAGTGCGCTAGGAACACCCGGGATCGATAAACCTGGAACAACCAAGAGTTCCAAAAAGCATTTCAGTAAAAACAAAAGTAACTTCATTTTTATTTCTCACATTAAAAGTAAATCTAATCTGAAAATGCATATCAATCTATTTCTTCTCACTGGATTAAATATCATAGCTCATCTCTCCATTCCATTTTGAAACAGCAACCTGAATCAAATCAAACTCTCATCCCAATCTTTGAAACTTCTCCCCATGTTTTATGGAAGAAGGATTCCTTCAAAATACTGTATTACCCAAGGCCTTAATTCTCGTGTTTCCTGCTAGTAGTTAAATATGGATAAAACACTCTCTTATGTTGTCCTGCCCAATTGCAGTCTAATAACTAAATGCCCTTAATTTTCAAACTGGAATTCAAAAAATCCAGAATGGAAGAATAGTCAAGCAATATTAAAAGCTTTGTTTTTAGTGCTTCATTAATGTGCTGTTAAATAAAATAACAACATGTGACCAACACCATTAAAAAGCTGCCAACACATTTGTCAGCTTTTGGTTCTAACACACATATAAATAGTTAACAAACCTAAATGAAATATTAAAGGCAGAAAATTAGATCTTTACTATACCAAGAAAGACTTTACCTGCAGCTTGGGGGAAGCCAATAGCAGGAGCAAAGCCAGCTGCCCCTGCATATGGTGAGGAGATGATACTTGGAGTGCCTGAAAAAGGAAAACAAATTAGACCAGATTGCAGGAGGTTAATTTCTAGAGAAAGTAAAAAGTTATTCAACCCTTAAAGGAAAGATTATTGTCTTAGATTTATTGCATGGGATGAATACATGCCCTGTTCATTTCAGTTTATGTGATTCTCTGCTCTGCTTTCTATTTGAAGACTCTACTGGCAATTAAGTGATGAATAACAGCTGTACAATCTTTCCCCTCAATATTGGTATAATTCCAATAGGCATTTTAGGAACTGTTTCTCTGACAGGACACTAAAGAACCAAAAACCAAGTGCAAATAACATGTGCACATGTAACACTTTCTCTGTAGTTTATTAACAAGGGCCCAGTCCTTCTTTTTTCTTTTTATGTTAAATTATATCATGCTATTTAATTTTTTACCACCTTCAATGAGCTAGCAGGAAAAATATATCAATTGCTTAGTCTCTGAAGATAACTGATTGAAAATACCCTTTTCAATTTTTAGATGAAACTATGGCATTAAAAACAATTGCAGCAACTTGTACAAAATGTAGAATATGATGTGCAGAAATAAGCACTGAGCAAAGAAATCAAGTAGGCTCTATTTCATGAGGCCAATTCACATGCTACAGCTATGCTTTGGAAACAGGAGAAAATTGCCACATTCAGGACTATAACCTTTAGAACTCAATAGGTTCCTAAACCTCTTATCTTTAGTTACAATAAGGCAGTTACACAAATACTGCAAAACACTATATATTTTATACTTATAATACAACATGCATTGGTATTGTGACTTGTATTTGGCAATATAGGCATTCATCATTTAATTCACACTTCTGCTCTCCATTATAATTCATTATGCAAACAGCCAGCAACAAAGAGCTTATTCAGCCAGACAGGGCCTGCGTGAATACTGATATCAAATACATACAATACCCTGTATTTCTACCCAAGAATATTAAAGAGTTTTTGCATACAGCATGTAAACTCTCTTTGCAGTATCACACAAATGGTTACCCTAACAAACCAATTAATTCATTTAACAGTGGGTCAACATATGCTTGAAAAAGAAAGTGAATATGTTTTCTCCTCTTAATACTACCACTTACCTGTTCTTAATTTTTTAAGCTTAGGCTCAGAGTTTACTGAATCTCTTTTGTGTATTTAGATAATTAGTCATAAAAAAGTTGAACAGTGGGACAGGAAATTCACGAAAGCTTGCATTTATCTATTGTGAGCAAAAATGTCTGGGATCAGCGTGCACCGATTGGCTCAAAATTGAGAAAGGAGTTCGGCAAGGCTGCATACTGTCACCCTGCCTATTTAACTTATATGCAGAGCACAACATGAGAAAGGCAGAGCTAGATGAATCAAAAGTTGGAGTTTAAGATTGCCGAGAGAAATATCAACAACCTCAGATATGCAGATGATACCACTCTAATGGCAGAAAGTGAAGAGGAACTAAAGAGCCTCTTGATGGAGGGGGGGGGAGGAGAGTGCAAAAGTTGGTTTGAAACTCAACCGTCTCAATTCCTGGCAAATAGATGGGGGGAAAATGGAGGTAGTGACAGATTTTATTTTCCTGGGCTTCAAGATCACCGCAGGTGAGGACTACAGCCAAGAAATTAAAAGATGCTTGCTCCTGGGGAGGAAAGCTATGGCAAATCTAGACAGCAAACTAAAAAGCAGAGACATCACCCTGCCAACAAAAGTGCATATAGTCAAGGCTATAGTTTTCCCAGTTGCAATGTATGGCTGTGAAAGCTGGACCATAAGGAAGGCTGAGTGCCAAAAATTGAGGCCTTTGAACTATGGTGCTGGAAAAGTCTCCTGTGAGACACTTGGACTGCAAGGCGATCAAACCAGTTAATCCTAGAGGAGATCAACCCTGACTGCTCTTTAGAAGGATACAGATACAGATAATCAGAGTTGGAAGGGGCCTTGTAGGTCATCTAGTCCAACCCCCTGCCCAAGCAGGAGACCCTACACCATTTCTGACAAATGGCAGTCCAATCTCTCCTTGAAGGTCTCAAGTGATGGCACTCCCACAACTTCCGAGGGCAAGCTGTTCCATTGGTTGATTGTTCTCACTGTCAGAAAGTTTCTCCTTATTTCCAGGTTGAATCTCTCCTTGTTCAGTTTCCATCCATTATTCCTTGTCTGGCTTACAGGCACTTTAGAAAATAGCTTGACCCCTTCCTCCCTGTGGCAGCCCTTGAAATATTGGAAGACTGCTATCATGTCTCCCCTGGTCCTTCTCTTTATTAGACTAGCTAAGCCCAGTTCCTGCAACCATTCATTGTATGTTTTAGCCTCCAGTCCCCTAATCATCCTGGTTGCTCTTCTCTGTACTTTTTCTAGAGCCTCAACATCTTTTTTATAATGTGGTGACCAAAACTGGATGCAGTACTCTAGGTGTGGTCTTACTAGGGCTTTGTAGAGTGGTATTAGTACTTCCCTTGATCTTGACTGTATCCCTCTGTTATCTTTATCCATACATTTTCAGTGTTAAGCAGTAATCACTGTCAGCTATGCCCCGAAAGGGTAATTTTGAAAATAATCAATATACTGTATTTTTATTATATTCAATATATTGGGATTTAACACACTCTAATGGCAGAAAGTGAAGAGGAACTCTTGATGGGGGGAGGGGAGGAGGCCAGATCCTGAAGATGAAACTCAAATACTTTGGCCACCTAATGAGAAGGAAGGACTCATTGGAGAAGAGCCTAATGCTGGGAACGATTGAGGGCAAAAGAAGAAGGAGACGGCAGAGAATGAGGAATGAGGTGGCTGGATGGAGTCACTGAATTAGTTGGCATGAGCTTAGATGGTCTCTGGGGGATGGTAGAAGACAGGAAGACCTGGAGAAACATTGTCCATGGGGTTGCAATGGGTCGAACACGTCTTTGCGACTAACAACAACAATCTTGAGATCAATATGTTAAACCCCAATATATTGAATATAATAAAAATACAGTATATTGATTATTTTCAAAATTACCCTTTCGGGGCATAGCTGACAGTGATTACTGCTTAACACTGAAAATGTATAGATAAAGATAAGTTTGATACAGTTCCAAAAGCTCATGAGTTCAAGACTTTGTTCCAACTGGAGATGGACAGGGACAGCAAGAACCTATTAGTGCTTCTGTTCCAGATTCTACAATAATAATAATTCCCCTCCAGAGTACAGTAACATCATTACAAGATGATAGTCTTATCAGAGCTTTTTAAAAGTCAGTGTTCTTTCAGGTTTTACATATAACATTTCTCTGAAATAAGAGGAAACAAAATTCATCTTCATTATTTTCTGGGTTAGCTAAGGAATAAAAGTTTGATGGTGATTTCCAACAGATGCTGGCAAAAGGTTGTGCAAGAATGAACATTCCTTTTAAGGCCCAAATTTGACAAATCCTCTTTCATATCATCAGTGATGCATAAGATACAAAAAGTACAAAAAAAATCTCAACTTTGGATTTTAATAATTTCATAACAGAGACAGCTTTCATAAGCAGTAGTATTGCAATTAGAACAATTATTAATCTAACATCATAACCTATATTAATATTTTTCAAAGCCACTTCTTCCAAATGATGGAATGCCCATTTTACTACTGTATAATGTCTCTTTGTGGAAAGAAAAATCTCAGTAGCAGGAGTAATTTGTTCTATCTCCAACTACAAAGGAAGTGTTCTTACCAAAAGCAGCAGCCATAGTAGGGTCAAGTGAAGGCTGCCCATCCCCTGAAGGAAGGTCCAAACGTGTGAAATCTCTGCTCTTATCATTGTTATATTTTACATTAAGGCTTGTTAGCTTGGAGAAATCAATACGAAGAGTGCAGCAAGCATTGTAGATATTCTGACCATCCAGAGCCTATGGGGATATTAAAAAGTTGAGGTTATGAAATGCTTCCAGGATTTTTATATAAATACATGCAAAGTTACAGTGTGAACATATACTCTGATTGAAGCAAAGGGGTAAATGAGATCGCATTTTCACTGTTGCCTGAGCCCATTGTTTTATGTGCTTTGTAAAATAAAGGAATCATATTTCCAGAATGTTGTAATTCTTGTTATATCCCAAACATCATTTTGAAATGGCATTTCTTTGAGACTACATACCATCATACTTATGCTGCATCACTCATGCTATTAAGTTAGTAAAATATAACTACCAAATGGTAGACATCTCTATTAGAAGATTTGAAAGATTTGAATAATTAACCAAATAGCCTTTGTGGAGCACCTGTTTAGAATTTGCAGAGCAGTTCTGAAAACTTTTTACTATTACTCTTAAAGGCTTGCCAGATTAATCTTTCAAAACTGGAACAATCACATTAGCATCTGGCTTTTTATTTCCAGCAATGGCAGAATAAAGGAGGAGAAAGGAATGGGAGAAAATTATAGGCACCTCTGATAGGCAACAAAATAGGCTTTTGGAAAGCTGCATTCTGCACATTGCCCTACCAACATTTAAATCAAGCATGTTTATAATGTAATTATGTCCCTTCATCACACAGAAATTCTTATGCAGTCTCTTAATTTCAAAGAAATATATCATACTCTAATGTAAAGAAATAACTGTATAAAATTATAATTGCACTGGTGTAAGGCTGCAAACATTATTTCTGTACTGTAAAATTGCAGCATAATAATACTTGTGTGACATAGCACCAGAAAAATAAGGCGTTTCATATGGAGTAAACTGTTATAATGCAAGCATATCAGGAATCTATTCACAAAGTTACCATTTTGGCATACTGCGCATTCAAAGGGTCAGCATATTGAAGCAAGGCCTGAAATTGATTATTCTTTGTAAAAGTTATGATCTTCAGAACTGTTCCAAACTTGGAGAAGATCTAAATAAAAAGTTCAAACAGTCAGTTCATCCATTAATACCTTCTTGGGAGTTTGACATATAATGATTTTCCAACAATGTAAATGTACAGGCATGAGAATTGTTATTATAATTTGGAAGTGTAGCACTCTGAACATGGCATTAATGTTAAGAATATTGCACACTGGGGGTTGTAACAAATTTCATAAGTGAAACAGTTCTCTCAACAAAAACAAAAATAATAAAGACTGATTTTTCTTCAATATGTACATATTATAATTAAATATAATTTAGTTGAACTGGCCAGGTACATTACTGTTCTTGCTGCAAGGAAAATATCACCTAAGCTTGAAAGCCTTTCCGCCCCCCAATATTTAATGTAAATAAGGTAAAATATCAGATTAAAGAAACAAAGACTAAAGAGTACCACAGTTCTGACATTATGTACAAATGACAAAACAAGACTGCATAAAACCTTTGAAAGGATTGCTTTGCAACACAAAACATAGCATCTCTCTTTGAATTGCTAAAGCAGCTGTGTCCTTTGCAAGGTTTGTGCAGGTGTTTTGGAAGTTATTCCTAGCTGTTTCCATATGTATGTGCGTGAATATCTGTTAGCTTGGGGGGGGGGGGTAGCTTTCCTTTTTGAAAAGCAAGCAAAACAAAACAGCTATGTATACACACACACAGGCAGAGATAGCCAGAAATGGCTTTCAAGGCAGCCATGCAACCCTTGCAAAAGACATGGCTGCTTTAATAATCCAAAGAGAAGTGTTGTATTTGCAACCAGGCCATTCAAAAGCTTTCCACCATTATAATATTCCACAGTATTGGGATTAAATGTATCCTAAAGCTATGATCTAACAAAATGTATTCATTCCAGTTTCTTCTTTCAATTCTACATAATCACTTTATTATGTGTTCATTGTGTTCCCTGCTTTGAATTCGTATTCATAAGCAAATAATTAATATGGTACATACGAGAAACAGAGAAGGAAATAGATATGCATGATCCTGCTGGCTGGATCACTAGTGCTGTCTGTGGTACTGTTACACCATGCAAGTTATCCTCTAGTACAGTGATCCCCAACCTTTTTTATGCCGCGGCCCGGTACCGGCATCAACTGGGCGCCGCCATCTTTTTTTGATGAAAAAGTGCTTCCGGTGAGCTTTCTACCTGGAAAAGCTCACTGGAAGCACTTTTTTATCAAAAAAAGATGGCGGCGCCCAGCAACCAGCGGCCCGGTAAGACTTGTTCCGCGGACCGGTACCGGTCCGCGGACCAGCGGTTGGGGACCCCTGCTCTAGTAGATAATTGGTTTTTATTACTTTTTCATTTGAATTAGAGGAAGGGCAATCATTCCAGGCTTAAAATATTTGGCAAGGGGAAAACACAACTGATAGCCATATTTTAATCTATCTGAATAAAATAATTATAAGAAGAACATTGGTTTATACCTGATATAGCACTTCTAGAGTAACAGGATAGAAGAGATTTTCCACAATAATTCGAAGAACCGAACTCTGACCAGGAGGCAGCCCACTCTCAGTAATTGGAGCGCCCGTGAGGGCCATGCCTCCAGACTGCACAGCATTCACTGCTTGTAATGCAGCTTGAGTTCTCTGAGAGGGAGATGAAATTTTGATACATCTATCACATATGCTAACATCGTTACATACAGATTATGCTCAGAACAAAATCCTACAGGAATCAGTAGGACTCCCGGGGAGAGTCTTATGCTTCCTTTTTTTTTTTTTTGCATCTACCTCAGCAATTTTTCATTCTGCTGCATCTCAGGTTTCATGCAAACATCTAAAACATGTTCTAAGCTTTTGGGATAATTGAATAGCAAGGCAAAGTAAATTTCCAAGTTGTTGTTTCTTTTGAAAATACTAATCAAACAAGATAAGGTTCGCTCAAAATTTTATTCAAGTGTGTCCCATTCTCCTACATCAACCACATCAACAAAACACAAGGAAGTAAGTCATAAGAGATATGGATACAGATGATAAGAGTTGCTGCTCTAGCTAAGAAATAGACTAGTCAGAGGCCTGCTAGATACACAGTTCCATGTTGAATTCCAAATGTCATCTTGAAGTTGCTATATTGGATGAATCTTAGAGGCTGCTATATGATCCACCATCTTCAAGTGGTTTCTTGCCAAAAGCACTTGCTGCTAAAAGACAATTATTCCAGCAGAACATGAATTTCAAGAATATCTCAAACTGATCTCCAAATTCCATTTTGTCTCAAATTGATGGGATACAAGTACAAATAACAAAATTTCCTTCAGCAAAATAGTTAATTATGCTTCATCATAGTTCCCCAAAATATGGGACTTTATTGTTCATTGGATTTTTTTCACCATAGCCAAGTTACAAATTTTATCTAAAGTCTAATAAGAATAAATTGTTCCTGAACAGAAACATATGCAAAGCTCCCTGCTCAAATTGGAAGTATGATTCCACATTTATTCTGTCATGGTTCCTCTTGGCATTTCCCAATACCAATTATGTAATATTGTTGTTTATCAAAGACAACGGTCTTCAAACTTGGCAAGTTTAAGACTTGTGGACTTCAACTCCCAGAATTCCTGAGCTAACATGACTGGAGGAAGAATTCTGGGAGTTGAAGGCCACAAGTCTTAAAGCTGTCAAGTTTGAAGGCCCCTGGTCTAACGTAACAGGGGCTTAGTTGGTATAATACACAGCTAGTCCTCAACGTAACCACAGTTGAGCCCAAGGCTTCTGTTGCTAAGTAAGGCAGTTAAGTGAGTTTTGCCCCATTTAAAAACCTTTCTTCGCCAAAATTGTTAAGTAAATCACTGCAGTTGTTAAGTGAATCATATGGCCTTTAAGTGAATCTGGTCTCCCCCCACATTGACTTTGCTTGTCAGAAACTGGCTGGGAAGGTTACAAATGGAACTCTCATAAATACATGTCAGTTGCCAAGTCTCCAAATTTTGATCATATGACCATGGGGATCCTACAATAGTTGCAAGTGTGAAAACTGGTCATAAGTCACATTTTTCAGTGCCATTGTGACTTTGGTCACTAAACAAATGGTTGTAAATCAAGGAATACCTGTAGTTAAGGTGTTAGGGTGACTGTCAGCAAAGCCCACATCAAGTCCACACAGTTATGGAAGCTCATGGGTTGGCCAGTCATTCTTTCTCAGCCCAAACTACTACCTCCTAGTAAAGTTGTTGTGGGAAATTAATAGGAGGGAGCACTTTACATGTCACCTTAAGCTACAGAATGAAAGTGGGATAGCATTCTAACAAATGAACAAAATATATACATAAAAGTCTACAAAGCGAAGAGGGCAGAATTCTTAAGAATGCTACTAGGACTTTAACCCTTGAATTGAAATTCTCTTCACTGCTTACTAGTTTAAGTCTTTACAGTCTTTTGTCTGTTTGCTATATTGAATAGATATATCCATGCAGTTTGCTTTTAATGAGGCTGAGGTAATTGGAGTACAGCTGTTTTGAGTGCAAAGATGATCATCTACATATAGGAACTGGATACTATGGGGATGTTCTGGATCATGTACATAAATTTCTTATAGGCATCTGATTAACATTTTATTCTCAGACCAGCTAAAATGGAATAACATTTCTCCTGATGCAGGTATATTCCTAGATGCATACTTCCTCAAAGATATTTGGTTCCAGTATCAAGTAGCTAAGTCCTTTCTCTTCAACTGTCATCAGTCTGAGAGTGCAAAATTTATTTCTCTTCTATGTAATCTGTCATAATTTGGTTAAACAAAACTCTCTCTCTGTGTATATAATTTGTTGAGAAGAAAAAAAGGACAAATGCAGGAAAGGCTAGGTATCTTGAATTCCATAATGAATTATTACTGTTACATCAATTAACCTATGTGGAATGGGAAACAAAAATAACTGCAACACTGTTAGCAAAACATCAAGCTGTAAAATAATTTCCCAATTCCACAAGCTCATTGAAGCAGCAGAATTACCACTTCTTGATAATAATTCATGACCCTTTTGGTAAGTTGAGATCCTACACATACACATCAAAAAAAAAAAAAGATGAAGTGGCCATCATAATAATAGTAATAATAATTAAAAAGTGGCTCATCATTAGTAATATAGAATGACAGGCATCAGCTCGGTTAGTGGAAATGATGCAACATGCATGACTTTATTGCTACATTAATGCCACAAATTATTACTTGCATCAGAAATTAGAATGCACGTATACAATGGCAACATTTATATGGTAATGTCATGTTTGTATGTTGTCATTCCAACAGCACTGCAGTTTGCTGAGATATTGCTTCCTTTGAAAGTCATATACTTTTCTCAGAGGTAGCATACTCACAGCATGGTTGGGTAGATTGTCAGTCTTAAGTTCTCTATGATTGGAATACTGAATATAAACAGGCTGACTGCGAAGATGAGGAGTAACAGGAGTGTAGTAGTTCACCATAGTAACAGCAGCTTCTTCTGAAGCCATTTCTAGAAAAGCCTGAAATTAATACAGAGAAAGATCTTGACTAGAAAACCACTACCCTAACTTTGGCAAATATGTAATACATATAGGTGCCATCTGTAGTACTATCATGTATGATACTGTAAGGCACCAGAAATCAATCCAAATTACAACAGTTCATAAAACTTATAAAGTAGCAAAAACTGCACTAGTATTACCACCCCTCAAAAATGTTGATGTTATTTTTTTCTCACTTAAAATGTAGTTGCCTAAAAGAAGATTGGGGAGGGGTGTTGGGAGCTGGGAGTCTGACTTTGAATCAGTGTTGATTTCTAATGACTACCTGAACTAGTTCCTGCAGTTTTCAGAAGTAGTTTTCCATTGCCTCCTTTCTAGGGCTGGCAAAAAGGGACTGGCCCAAAGTCACACAGCTGGTTTCCTGCCTGAGACAGAACCAGAACGTAGAGTTTCCATCTTTCTAGCCTGGTGCTTAATCACTACACCAAACTGGCTTTCAGTTCTTTTTTCGTGATGTAAATGATAAGCTGTAAAACCTGACCAAGCCAATATTTGATTATGCCAAGTACACATCTAGCCAACTGATGTAGTCACATAGGCTGTTTTTATGGAAATACACATTTATAAATATATAACTACTGGTAAATCCAGTCTGCTTTCACTCCTCAATCCTAAATGCATAATATGCAAAAGGGCATTGCCAAAAACTAATAGAAGTTCTTTTAAAAAACAAAAAATATCAATTCTAAATGGTAAAACAACAGGAATGATTTTGCAGAACTTTTAAAATTTGCTTTTAAATACAACAAGAAACCTAGGTTTCCTCTTATAAGAAACACTGAGTTGATGGTGTCCATCCTTTTTATCTATAGTAGACAGGAAGAAAAAATAACAGATTAAAGATTAAACCAATCAAAATTTATGTGACATCTAAATCAGGACATCTGAGATTTGTTCATGCTAAGCTTTAGAGGGCATGAATTACATGAAGCCACATTTTCTCATTTTGTATGAAATCTACCTAGTAGTTTGTACATTCTAATTAACATTTTTCATAACCAGAAAACAAAACACAGTTTGTAAATATTCCAGTAGAAGCCTCAAATCTGACTCGTGGTTTGTTTGTTTTTAGTTGAAACACTGAATATTTTAAATATAGTTAAATAGTTCGTTTAGTTGGTAGCTGTTAACTTTTAGCAACAAAAATGTTTACAAATTAAGACTTTACAAGCAACTTATAGTATTAATGGGACTATATTACAGAAAAATAAACTTTACAGGATTATTTGCAGCAGCTGCTAAATTCTGATCCCTTCTTAAGGTTAGCTTTTGGCCTAATTTGAACTTAAGTTTAAAGTTTTCGCCACTTATTTGATTGGCTAGAGCAGGGGTCCCCAACCACCGGTCCGCGGACTGGTACCGGTCCGTGGAACAAGTCCTACCGGGCCGCTGGCTTGCTGGGCGCCGCCATCTTTTTTTGATGAAAAAGTGCTTCCGGTGAGCTTTTCCGGGTAGAAAGCTCACCGGAAGCACTTTTTCATCAAAAAAAGATGGTGGCGCCCGGCTAATGCCAGTACCGGGCCGCGCCATAAAAAAGGTTGGGGATACCGGGCCGCGGCGTAAAAAAGGTTGGGGATCACTGGGCTAGAGCAGTGTTTCTCAACCTTGGCAACTTTAAAACATGTGGACTTCAACTCTAGAATTTCCCCAGCATGCCAGAGGGGAATTCTGGAAGTTGAAATCCACATGTCTTACAAAGTTGCCGTGGTTGAGAAACACTGGGCTAGTGTATATAACACTATTTTTAAATCAAATACTTATTCTGAAACTGACACTTTTTCACAAAATTGAAATGAATGTTTGGGTGTAAATCAGGATCCACTCTCCTCCAAATAAATAAGGCAGTGTGAAGCATATGAAAGATTTGGTTCTCAAGGCATTGGTGAAGTTTCCCCTTTTAAACATTAAAAGAGCTAAATCTTTTAGCAGATTTGCATGGATGTTCTATTGAGTTGCCCAAGACTACCATCAAATTGAAGCAGCTGTGAACTCTATACATACTGCACGTACTGAGAACCAAGGAGAAATTTTGAGGTACCACAGAGCTTTCCAAATGATGCAACTGCTGCAATGCTTTGGAAAAGGACGATTAATATGATTTGCAAAGCACTTTTCCATTTGCAAAGCACCTCCATCATCCTTTTAATATAAGCTCCACAAAACGGCCTTACAGTTGCTTAATGACTGCAATGAAGAGAACCAGGATTGCAGTGATTCAGCAAAGCCGTCGCGTGGGTGCCTTGCTTAATTACCGAAACAACTTACCAAAATTCTGGCCTCAAGTACAGCTGCAAGGACTATTTGTAGTCAGGAAGTGGTTACCTGAAGAATGCCTTCTCTCATACACGTACCTGGCTTTTTCAGTTATTTCTACCCACCCAATCCAGCCTGGCAAGATGGGCATGCTCCAAATCCAATCAGCCAAGGGATGTCAGCTGGCAGGGACCAGGAGGCATGCTTCTCTGCTTTGGTGCCAGTCCTCTGAAACATCCTCTATCCGAATATTAGGATAGCCCTGACCCTTTGAGCCTTTTTTTGTAATGCCTTAACATCTGCTAATACCCAGGTGTGAGGTCCCAAGTATGTAAAGGGCCCTGTTTCCTGATTACGTTACCATCTGCAGATTGTAATATTTTTCTTGGCTGCTGTTTGTATTTAATTTTTAGAATTGTAGTTATAATTCAGATTTTTATTTTATTATTGTCTATTGCCCGGAGTCACTTTTTTGAGATGAGTGGCCATACAAATTGAATGAAATAAAATGAAGTAAAAATAGATATATATATTTTTTAAAAATAAAGTTTCATTTAGAAATAGAAATTATTTCCCTGTTTCAGGTTTAACTTATACCTGAACCAAAACATATGTACCACTGCTGATACGATAGTGAAATCTAATAATTCCAAAGGTATCAGACAAATTAATCTTATATTACACACATTATTTTTCTGTGATTGTTTATATGATGTAAAACATACACGTACCTGGCTTTTTCCTTTCAACATCAAGAGATTAGTTACTTTGCCAAAAGGTACACCTAGAGAAATCACTTCTGCTTCAGTGACATCATTTGGAATTTTACGAAGATGAAGAACTCGAGAAGGGGAGCAGGGAGATCTGTCTCCTTTAAATTTCTTGTTGTCATTCCCATTAGCTAAAACATATATACATAACATGCTTCAGCATATAAAGTATATCTAGTACGAAATGTGATTGCTGCGTGAACTCCAAATTTTAAAATTACTTCAAATTAACTAGAATCAGCAATAGTAACTTGTTACTTTGTTTGCTTATTAATCTGTTTGTTCATCTTTTCTTTTGCTTTAGTGTAGAAAAAAAGTTAACACAAGAAATTTACAATTCTGGTTATGATCAATTAAACTGCATAGTATATTTCACTGAACTCTTTTTTTGTTTTTTCATGTTTACAAACAGAGACTGAACCAACAGTCAGAAGATGTATGATGGCAGAATCAGCTACTAGTAGTTTTCTTCTACAGAAATATTTACAAATACAGGATCTAGTGATTTGATTGTCTTCTAGGGACTTATACAAAGGCATAGGGAATGACAGTGCTGGAAAAGATCAAAGATCTAGAGATTAAGAATGAGAAAACTAAAAAAAAAAAATAACTGATTAAGCAATGTTATTTATGTCAATTTGCTAAAATATAGAGCACTATGACTATGCCAACAGACCAGGATGAGGTTTAGTGCATCTTGAAAAAGAATACAATAGCAGGCATTGTCCAGCTTTTGCCATAAATGCATAATCCAGATCCCTTAGCTGGCATATGCACAGTAATCACAGGTTGCCTTTGCAGGAAATTACCATCTACTGGTAATTTCAATTTAAGAAAAGAGAAAATAAATCCTCATGTTGTGATTGTAACCTGCACAAGCTGTGAGCACAGAAACCCATATGCTCATATGTACAATAGACATTCCCTTGTGGGAGAAATGCGCACTGTGGGTCCGTGATAGCAAACCTATGCCACGCATGCCGGAAGTTGCACGCAGAGCCATCTCTCCGGGCACACCAGCCATCGCCCAGTGCTCTTCCAGGTTCCAGCATGCATGCTAGTCTTCGCACGTGTGGGAACACCGGAAACCGGAAGAGCAGTTCCCTGGAGCGCATGTGCCGGCCAGCTGGTCTTTGCATGTGCATGCGTGTTAGAAACTGGAAGACCAGGTGGCCGGTGTGCATGCGCGCACTGGGGATCTGCTCTTCCAGTTTCCGGCATGCGCGCACGCTCCCATTTCAGCAGTCGGTGCCAAAAAGGTTAGCCACTACTGCTCTGGGTCATGTAGAGCAGCAGTCACCAACCGGTGGCCTGCGGCCCACTGGTGGGCCATGAGAAAATTTTGGTGGGCCACAGAGAAATCTCACCCCTAGAGCACCCCCCCAAAAACAATTAATCCAGGCTGCGCAGAAACACAAGACTGCTCAGCCCACATGGCCTGCAGGAACCCTTCCCGCCCACTCACTCCTTACCCAGCAAACTTGTCTGCTAAATTGCTATTTTTCCTTTTTCCGACCATCATCTGTTCTGCTATGCCGGGAGATTTAGATTAGCTAGGAAGCAGGAAATGGTTGGATTTCTTGCTTTCTAGCCAAGCACAGCCAAACCTCCTTTAGGTTTGCTTGCAAGCAAATTCAGTGCAGACTCACGGCAAGCAAATTTGAGAGACTGAGCTAGCCGATGGCAGATAGATAGATCACTGAATGATTCTGTGAGCAACTCAATCTGCCTACTTTGCTTGATTTTGCATAAAAGTTGTTTTTATATATATAAAAAATTCAATATTTACATGCATGGTGTGTTGTGAGTTAATTTTGTGAGTTTGCTTGCAAGCAAATTTTACATGACAGACTGAGCTAGCCAATGGCAGATAGATTTCTGAATGAATCTGTGATTCTGTGAGCAACTCAATCAGCCTGCCTGCTTTGCCTGATTTGGGGTAAAAGCTGCTCCTTTTTTATACAAAAATCAATATTTATATCAATATTTATGATATTTACATACAAGCCATGCCCAGCCAGTCACATGACCACCAAGCCACACCCACAAATTAGGCCACGCCCACAGAACCAGTTAGTGGTCCCTGGGATCTAAAATTATGAGTTTGGTGGTCCCTGAGGTCCAAAAGGTTGGCGAGCCCTGATGTAGAGAGTCTGGTTACCTCTGCTTTTGTGCTGGAAAAAAATTAGACTGGTCCTTTTACTAAATCAGGAGCAGAACTGAAGGTAAACACTTTTTCAGGAACCTTTGTGGACTGAGGCTGAATTTGAGTGAAGTGTATCATCTCTTTCGCAGCTTCTGCGTAAAGTGGAATATCCTCAAAAGCTGCAGTACATCAAATAATGAAGCAAGATGAAACTTTTGCTTTAGCAAATTGGTATTTTGGCGGTATCTAGCCAGGAATTTCAATTAGAATCTGTTCTTTGTAATGTTAAGTCATGTTTGATGTTCATATTTCTCTCTCTCTGTCTCTCTCTCTGTATATGTGTGTGTGTGTATATATATCTTCAGCTATGCCATTTATATCTACCAATATTAATTATTTGCATTTTCATATTTAAAGTTGAAATGAGGGGATTACATTTTACTTATTTTTTTTGTATCTCTATTGTTCTGTCTTCCCAGGAAAGAAATGTGAACTGAAGTTTCTAGGCAAATATTATCTCTATGAGACATGACCATAGATTACACTATTGAAATAATTTTTCTTTGTTTACCTTCTAATAGCCAGAAAGTCACTAAAGGCCGTGGTACCCCTCTGAGTCATATACACTGAAGTTAGGGAGAGAGGATGCCAGATAAGTGTTCCCTGGAAAGCACATGGGGAAAGCAGGAACTACTAAGCTGCTATCACAAACAGGGGACAGAAACAGGATGTGAACACTCAAGAGGGCTTCTGGGAGAGGATGCTTGAAACTTACAGCCTTCCATTCTATGGAATGAGCTATCTGCTACACTACCCCAGCCAGTTCAATCCATGGTTAACATCTCATAAACTAAGGAACTGTGATATGTTTCTCTTGTAAAACAAAAGAACAAGCTTCAGTTTCATATTTTGACTAACTTCAAGAAAACTTGCCAAAGTTTCCAGTTCATATGATGGAATATATAAACAATGAATACATGCAAACATGGTCACTGATTTATTCTTGCAGGTAAGACCTTATTCCCACACTTGTTCTAACCCATCTGCTTTTTTTTAAAAAAAAGACTGGAATGGTTTCAACCATCCTTATCTGCCCTTACATTAACTAATTGAGAAAACATTTACAGGAGCATATACAAAATGCATTCTTAATCATACCAGTAGCAGGAGTAGGATTGCTCATCGTAAGAGTCCCGTATGTGATACCAGAAGGAAGAAGCTCATCAGATCCACGCTGAAAAGAAAATTATAAATATAGTTGATCTTCATTTAAGCATGGACATTTTGTTGAAAATACAATTTAAAAAGACATTAAAAGCAGTTTAACATAAATGAAACATCTATTTTTATTTTGTTGTGTGTTGCATTTAGGATGCTGAGCTTTAAAATATAAATATAAACATAAAATATAATACATTATATGAACATTATAATGAATATTTCATTATGTGAAATATTTCAGGAATGGTACTGGCTAAATAGGCTCCACATTAATATATTTTTCCTATTTATTTGGTTCACAATAACTAACTGATCATAGCTTTATATTTTCAAACAAGCTGGTTGCCCAATCTACACATCTAATACACTTTATCTTTTCATTGTTCACTTTGTTCAACGTCTATACATGATTAAGTAAGTCAAAACATTCCAGAACCATTCTTCTAGCAGTATGTTGTATTTAAAAACTATTTTCTAAATTACTGAGAACCTACTCTTTTTACCAATACATCTGATCAGGGATTTCAGACACCATTAGACAAACTAATGGACAACGCTTCCATTTAAAAAAAACAAGATGTGCAGAGGTATAGTACAATTCTGACTCATTTGGTTTACTATTTCTGCAAGCAACTTTATGCAGTACAGTATATGCACTGCTAGTAGTAGATAACATGGGAACTGCATATCCTATACAACTGGGAATTCCATAGAAATAGACTTATCCACTTGATATAGCGAGACAAAGTATTACTATGATATACAAAACGTTGATCAATATCAAGTAGACTGAGACGTAGCTATCATTTTATGACACAATTACATTTTATACAAACATGTAAAAGTGTAAAAATTATGAACATTTCAGTATTGCTTGTGGCACTACTTTTTCAATTTAAGAAAAATACCAGAATCATTTTTCATGATTCCCCAAGGAATCTGCCTCTGGACAAAGAATAATCAGAACAATAACATTATAGTTCTCCTACAACTTGCAGTTTTGTCCCTCAGGAAATCTGCCTAATGTTTATCATCTAAAAGTTAACAATTTATAAAACAATCATTATACTGCAGGAATAGCACCAAACAAAGTATCAAATGAGCTTCGTTCTCACTATGTTCATTCATAGACTTCTTCTATGTGTCTTCCACTGTCAGGGAATATCCATTTTAGCAAAATTTGTTGTGTAATTGTTGGAACACTTGTACAGAATGCAAACAGCCAAAGTCCCTTCTCAAAACTTTTGGAAGATATTCCTGAGTTCCCTTTACACACACACACACACACAACACACACACACACAAAAGATTATAGGTAGCGTATCTCACAAATATATCTACTTCCCACTTATGACTATAACCGTGTTGCTTGTATCGTTATAATTTATATAGTTTTGTTTCCTAGTATGATTTGATTGCTTATTAGTAACATGACTATCACTAAGTGTTGTATCTTATGATTCTTGATTAACGTATTTTTCCCTTTATGTAAAATGAGAGCATACGGACCAAAGATAAATTCCTTGTGTGTCCAATTATACTTGGCCAATAAAGAATTCTCTTCTCTTCTCTTCATTTATTTTATTTAAGGCAGAAAGGAGTGCTATGTATGCCATCCTGAGCTCCTGAAGGCAGGATATAAATCTAATAAATGGTTGCACTGAAAAATTCCATCTTCACTAACCTTTGTACCATTTGAAGGACAACTGGAAACTATTTCTAATGAAATAATTTGACACGTGTATATAGCTTCTAGTGTTACTTCCACAGATATGAACATTTTGTATTAACAAAATTTGGTTCAGCCAAATTTTCCATAGTAAATCCTATGTATGAGAATGCCTAACTGATTTTGTATTTGTTTTACTATTTTGTAGTGTTACTTTATCACTGGGAAGGAAGGAAGGAAGGAAGGAAGGAAGTAAATAAATCTGTTCTGATACATATATATGTTTAGAAACATAATATTGTTGATGAGCTAAACTTATGCAAAGAATGCAATTTCAGAACACCAAATCACTTAAATGAAATAGCAACAAGCCTCACAAAACAATCCACAACCCATTTTACTATGGGTTCATTGGGTTGATCAGTAATCTCCCTAGAAACAAGGTTCTTAGTTTAACACAGGGAGCTAGCAGCTGTTTCAGTCTTGCTTTCTCACTGGCACCATTTGCATGCAGCTAGTTCCATTGTCTAAGACTCTAATATATCAATTACTCAAGCTTCCTGCTAGATCAGTATCAGGATCTGGTATGCCTTAAACAGACACACACAGAAAATATGACAATCATCGAGGGAATGAATTCAGTATCCATATCATAAACTAGTAGGATGAACAAAATCAAGATACTTTATCCTCAAGAAATTCTTACCAGATGGTCAATCACAAAGAGCTTAAAATATTCTTAATATTCCTCTTTTTACCGGTTAAGCTAAGCAACAAGTTTCTGAATCAATAGCATAAATGGATTCATGAAGTCTCCAAAAGTAACTTCTGGGCTTTGCTTGCTTAACTGGGAAACCCAACAGTGTCGTAAATGACTGCTTTAATTTCAGCCTCCCCTCTTTCACTGTCATGAAGGTCAGAATGGGGAAGCCAAGAGATCAATTGCATAAACTCTATTAATTGCTGGCTGCATAGCCTACATTAATATAGTTATCTAACATGATTTTAAGCACAATAGATCTTTGCAAGGAATCAAATAATCAATGCAAGCAGCTCAAATAATGAATTTTTATGTGTGAACAACTGACTATTCCAAGGAATATTAAAGTATGTTATACAGTATTAGGAGTAAAACCTCTTTATTCAATATTTGATCAACTTGCTGTGGCACAATCTATATTGTCTGTATAATAATAGATTTTTGCCAATTCATTTGAACTTTTAGTCCCAAATTATGCAATAAGGTGATAGTTTCATTCCCAAAAGTTCCACCAGTCACAGAAACTGAAAAGCAAAAGACCTCCTGTAATTTCTGTAATAAATCTAAATGACTTTTAATTTTCCACCTGAGACACTTAGTATTTACATAAGCTTATTCAAGGTAAGGCTAGGATTTTATATTTATTTTACCGCCCACCGCCCTCCTTAAGAAAATACTCTTAATAAGTGAAAAATTACTATTTTATAAACATACAATTTAATTATATTTTTAACTCCAAAATTTTGTGCACTGAAAGAAAATAAATTAGTACAATAAATTAGAAACTGAGTGACAACAAACAAGTAGTTACTTGTAACAGAAATCTTTTTAAGTATCTTATTGCTGGTTTTATAAAGAGGATCGCAGAGGCCTAGAGATGAAGGTGTTTGCTTCCCACTCAGAAGATTGCGTGTTCAATCCTAGGTAGTGGCAGTTGTTTCTCTATCAGGGTGTGAAGAGAAAATATGTGCTGCAAACTCCACATAGACGTCAAGAAGGGCATCCAGCTAATAAACGCTCATCTCTACTCAGCGTCCCCGACTCCACCCGAATAAAGGGATTAAAGTGTCATAAAAAGAAAAAAACTACTGGTTTTGTAAGCCCATAACTGGATTAATGAAAATGGAATTGTTTTATGGATTTGCTGATTAAAAAGGATGACTATGAGAATATTCATATTGTAACTTTAAAGAGGAAGGAAAGGTAATGAACTTGTTTGCAACTGCTAAAAAGGACAGAGGTAGCTTTTCTACCTGCGTTCCCCCCTTTTTTTCTTTTACATCTTCTCTTTTTAATTTCACTCTACATAATTTCATGTTTATCTTATGTGAAAGTCTTTAATAAAAAAATTACATTAAAAGATTAATGAAAATATACTCTCTTCAGATAGCTAAAACTGTAACTAAGTAAATAAATACCGAGTAAGCAACTAGAAAGCCTGCTGTGTATATGATGAATTCCTTCTGGTCATATTTTTGATTAACTTAAAACGTAAGAAAGTAGAAAAACAAATTTTACCAATTGGAGTCAAGAGCTACCTAGTGCTAAGAACATGAATTCAAAAATGTGGGGAGAAGCGGTTATCCCCCCCCCCAAAAAAAACATAAAAACTCCTTAACAGTGTTTATGACAGCTGCTATATGCATCTCCACATATCTCCAGACATAATGTGCCCTTTCAATCTCAATCACTATGGTACTTGAACTACAATTTGCTGGAAGCCCATTAAGGATTTCTTACAAAATGAGTTTTCAAATAATTTCAGGTTGTAGAACCTGTCAGTTAAGAAGAAGTCAGTTAAGTTCTGGAAGCCCTGATCAAGAGATGCAGTTTGAGTGATTTTCCCCTCTCAGTCTCTCATGGAATTCCATCAAGTTATCCCAGAAGTCTAGGAGTATGCAAAACTCTGAAAAATCCTATTTTAGATATTAACAATTGTGACTTTTTCTTTTATAAAACTCTTTTAACAAAATGCTGTAGATGTATCCATCAATGCATATTCATAATAGATTCACTGGCTACATTTGCACTTCAAATTATACATACAGTACTAAAGTCACACTGAGAACTTTCAGCTAATTTACTCTGCCACCAGAAGTGCCATGTGTTTTCCAGATGACTGCATTACAAAAATCATAATCCCTTGCTATTGGCCATGCTATTTTGGCATGACAGAAGTTGAATTTTAAGAGAAGAGATCTCTGGAGTATCAGTTTACTTATTCCTCCTTTAGCAAGAGCTCCAAAATAATCCTTGCCATCAAAGAATTCTTTTGCAGATTAGGACACCATACCAATACAGAACACACAATAAGAACAGATCAATATTAAACACAGTAACAACTTTGCCAACAGAACATAATGAGTGCTTATGAAAATGCTAGTGCTAGAAAAGAACAAAGAGACTTTTTTTAACATGTTCACTGTTCCGTATTAGTTAAGATTTGTACATTATAATAAATCTCTTCTACAAACAGTATAAGAATTGATGAAGCAGATTACAAACGGATTGAAGAACAGCAGCAAATCTAGAATGAAAATGTATCTTTCATCAGACGAACAAAGTTCATGGTATCAAGAAAAAG